TATATTTTTATATAAATAAATATAAAGTATTAATAATAATAATTAATAAAATATAATAATAATAAAGTACTCATTATACTGTCTGTCCAGTATATATAATACACATTAAATCATATATATATTTAATTATCATAACGATAAATATAATAATCTTGTATAATATTGAAGAATACGTGATGAATTCGTGTCGAATCTTCGTGAACCGCGAATATAAGAATAATCTAAATAATACTTAATTAGTACTCCGTCCTGCTCTGGCAGCCAGGTACGACAGAGATAGCGACTGCTCGTTATAACGTTAATAATAATAATAATTAATTAAAGCTAGTTGAAAAAGCGTGCGTTGATAAAGATTAGCGAGACGTGGCCTGATACGGCGACAATATAAAGCTCGTCAAATCCAGATCCCACCATAAATCAGTTCCCGAGTCGGCAGCAGTTAGACGCGGTAAGAACGGGTAATTTAAGTTCAGACGCAGTGCCGGTGCCGAAGAATCAAGACATGAGCATACCGACGTTCGAGAAGATGAACCCGATGTTCGACAAGACGTTGGAAGAGATTCTGGAGAAGAATTTACCAGAAAAGGAGCTGGCCGAGGTGAAACGACTGATCTTGGGCCGCGAGATGCAGTAAGAATTTTATTTTCGTTTATCAAATAATTTAAACACCGTTTCGGTAGGAAATATTTTTAGAGTTTGTGTATTCGGAAAATTTCTGAGAAATCGCCTATAAATAAATTGTGTTTACTCCGAGACGAGAGAAACTCAGGCCTTTTGTCTTTGCGTTACGAACAGGCCGCTGCATCTTCCTTCGTGGTCAGGAAGCCATGACCTCGACGTCCATGGATATATTATGGGTGGCGGCGTGCAGGAACAATTGCGTCCTCCGCGCGTAGTCCGCGTGGGGTTGATTCAAAACTCTATAGTGTTGCCGACGACTGAGCCGTTGCAGAAACAAAGGAACGCACTGCATCTGAAGATCCAAAAATACGTAGACTATGCCGCGACCTGCGGCGTCAACGTGCTATGCCTGCAGGAGGCTTGGGGTGAGTCCGAAGATCTACAGGATATAATTTAATAGTTATGTTTTGGGCAGCTTCTTGAATATATAAGAGACCATTTTGTGTCCGCAGTTAACTTGTTTTCTTGATAAGACTGTATATTGAGGATATGTACATAAAACCTTGAATGTAAATAGAATTATGTAATTCCGGTCTTAAATTAGTATCGGTAGATTAGATAAGAACGGCGAGGCTGTCTTCGACTTTCTTCTATACATCAGATTTAATTCTTCTAAAAACAGTTGTTTAAAAAAATCATACAAAACATGAAAAAATGAAACTTGTAGCTATGCCATTCGCGTTTTGCACCCGCGAGAAATACCCCTGGTGCGAACTGGCTGAGGACGCCGAGCACGGTCCGACTGTAATTCTGATGCGCGAGCTGGCTCACAGACACGGAATGGTGATTGTCTGCCCGATTCTCGAGAGAGACATCGCACACGGCGAGACTTTGTGGAACACATCCGTGGTGATTGAAAAGGATGGGACAATAATTGGCAAGCAGAGAAAGAACCATATCCCTCGTGTAGGCGATTTCAACGAATCCGCTTATTACATGGAAGGGAACACGGGACACCCTGTGTTCGACACCAGTTTCGGACGCATTGGTATCAACATTTGCTACGGCCGGCATCATCCCCAAAACTGGATGATGTTAGGTCTGAACGGAGCAGAAGTACGATTTACCTTCTTAATAAATAAACGCATTAAACATAGCGCAAGTACTTCACGGAGAAATCGAATTGTAAATTGCAGATTGTATTCAATCCGTCTGCTACTACTAGCCATACATCTGAACCGCTATGGTCCATCGAGGCGAGAAACGCAGCTATTGCTAACAGCTATTATACCTGCGCTATCAACCGCGTTGGAACCGAGAAGTTCCCCCATGAGTTCACATCAGGCGACGGTGGTCCCGCGCATCACGACTTTGGGCATTTCTACGGGTCCAGCTACATCACTGCTCCGGACGGTGCCAGAACTCCAGGCCTGAGCCGCTGTAAAGATGGCCTCCTCGTCTGCGAAATGGATCTGAACTTGTGTCGCCAGATGAAAGACTTCTGGTGCCTCAGAGTACGTAACATTCAATCAGAAGATTTTACACTTACTAACTGAATATCTTAATTCCAGATGACCCAGAGATTGGACATGTACTCGAAAGAACTGTGCGAGTACGTGGAGAAACATTTGCATTTCAACCATACAGGGGAGACAACTGAGCAAATGAAACATTCATCCATCCAAACGAAGAAGACGATGCAAAAGTAAACGGGCCCGAGAGATGAAAACGAGTTACATATTTTTTTACTAAACATGTATAAATCTTCGAAGAAATATACAAATGCATTTGAATAGAAATCTAAAACTGAGTTTCGTATAAACAGTTTTATTCTCAGTCATTATTTAAAAATATAAATAAGTTGTTGGAAAATGATAAGCGTAAGCTACACTCCTAGTTTAAAATACTTTTTACATAATTACAACTCCCCAATCGGGGGTGAGGGGTACTACGGTTAAGAATTTTCTCCGCGAGATTAACTCGCTGCACCAGCGGCCAACGTTGTGTTGTGTGTCTGTTTTCGGTAATTAAGCGCGTCTTGGTACGCTTTTTTCACCGCTTTTCTATCTGTGGGCTTACGAGATTCGATTAACTTCGCTTCGTCCACTTTTTGCGAAACGCCCAGCTTCTCCAATTTCTCACCAGGCAACCACTGCCTGTAACAATTAAGTTTGTCCGTCAGGATTATTTATATCAGAATTTCTTATAACACGAAGAGATAAAATTACAATTACCATGTTCTTTTGGTGTCGAAGAAGAGAACAAGGAATACAGGCTCCTTGTAATTAACAGCGAGCGCCAGTACGTCATCGGGTGGCGCTGGTATCGGTACACCTTTGTGCACCGTGCCTCTCGGCGTGTTAGGATCTATTATAAGAGCCGGGTACCACGGATAGCCGCGACACTTGGCCCAGACGAGTTGAAGAGCCTCCAAGCCGTTGCTCGCCGGGCTTTGCTTGCTCGCCGGCGTTTGCTTGCTCGTCGGGGTTTGCTTGCTCTCTAGTTCTTTCTTAGTCTCGTCTTCCTGCTGTTTCTGTTTCTCCTCCTCCACATCTGGGGTAGTCGATCTGCTCGTCGAGCAGCTGCTGCAGCTCGACGACTGACTCTCGCCTTCAGCCGCGTCACTGTCCATCGTCCCGCTTCTGTAAAAATTCATTTTATCGATTGACCATTTGAAAATGGATTTACTTTGGATGTCTTTTTATTATCTGAAGAGAATTACGCACCTATAGACTTTGAAACTGTCGTTCTGCTTCTTCTTATCGTCCTCCAAAACGAACATCTGATTACTTCTGCTAGCCCTCGCCTTCGCTTTGCGAGTGAATAAAACAGCAGTTCTCCTGTTCACCCCGCCTCCGCCAACGTCTTTCTCCCCGGATTGTAACTCGGTCTCACCGCGACTTCTGTTCGCGCGATCCCTCTTTCGGGACTTAGACGCCGTTTGTTCGTTCTCACCGGCCGGGTCCAATTCCGGGTAATCCTTCCGTGCCTGTTCAATGAGGGCACCTCCCTGCTCCTTCATCTTGATCCCCGCCCGGTAGAACATCGTGTCTTTACGATTGTAGGCCAGACAATTATTCACCATTAGATTGAAGTCTGTTTCGAACGCGCTGATCGTGTCGTATTCCTGCCTCTCGATTTTCGTCTGCATGGTGGAGAGGTCCATGGGATGGGTCACGATATCTAAATAATCCGGGACCTCTTTGATGTTCACCGGCTGCCCGAAAACCTCGTTCACGTCTTTCACCTTGATCGCTTCTAACAAAGTACGCAGAATGCTCTCCAGTGGGCGTAGTTCGAACCACAAACATTTCTCCTTCACTTTGAACAATTCCTTCTTCAGTTTCTCCCGTTTGCGGACTAACTCGCACAGTAGTCGCGCCCGCTCGAGATCCTGCCGCAGGCATTGCCAATACTTCAACTGGCGGTACATCTCCCCGCGCAGTTCACTGTCCGGCGGCGGTGAAGAGGCGTCACCGAGCGGAGGTGGCCTTGACTGAGGATGCGAACTCTGAAGCCTCCTGAGAAGCGGGACACCGTTCCTGTACTGCCGTTTCAAGGTCCAGTACGCTATCAACCGTTGTATCAACTGGCTCCGTTTAGGCAGTCCTTCGGCCAGACTGGCGATCTCTTTAATACGCTCCGGTGGTATGGTTGGAATCGAGATAACAGGAGCGGAAGAGCTTTTCTTGTTCGCGATCGCTCGCCTCCTCGCGTCTGCGGGATTGGTCGAAGGTTGGTAATCAGGAGGCGTGTGGGCCTCGCAGTAAGCCGTTTTTTGTACTAACATCGGCTCCCCGTTCGCAGGTTGTACTGTCCTCATCCGCATGCAGAGGCCAGCCTGTTGCGCGCACGTCACATGAAACGCTGCGTAACAGTTGCTCTTGTGGCACTGTATACACGCGCCAGACCCTCTGCGTTTACAAACGCAGCACGTGAGCCTCCACCGAGCCGCAGGTATGCTCTCGATGCTGTCGATCGGCTCTAGGAACACCGTGTTGGCGAACCTCACTTCTGGGATCCACAGGGCGCACACCACGTGGGCCCACGTCGCCGGCCGGTCGGTCTGTTTGAAGGCGCCGCCTCTATTCGGGCACAGAACGCAGTCCACGGCTCGTGATGGACTCTGCAGGCATCTCCTGCACAACCATTGTCCCTCAGGAATGTACGGTACGCCGTAGCAGTCTTGGTGAACGGCGAGGTTACACATGTCGCAGAAGAGGATCGCGTTACTGTTCTGACACTCGCCGTCCATGCAAATGCAACAAACCGCGTCCTCGTCGGCCGCAATCCCACCGCCGCCGTTACTCTGTTGCTGGAAGTACGACTCCTTTTCCAGCCTGTCCATCAACAATTCGAAAGTATCGGGTTCTAACGGTGGACTCAAGCCAGAGGCTAGTCTCCTCTCGTTTACTATAGACAACCAAGCAGTGTCTTCCTCGTCCAGATCGTATTCTACTTCACCTAAGAATGAAAATCGAAAATCAGTATAAAGTTATGTTTACAGGAAGTGTATTTAGAAAAATGTAACGCACCATCAAGTTCTTCTCCACTGCGTTCCATGAATCTGATGTAAGAATTCGGGAGCGGTTCCGCCACACCGAGTTGTTCCTCGTATCCCTCGATCTCGTGAACATTGGCAACGGGTAAGCTACTGAGTACGTTCTTCTCTTCCCTCTCTTTGTCTGTAGGCATCCCCTTCGTAGGCATGTTCTTGTCATCGAAACTGTTTCCTTCCAAAGAGATGATAGGAACAAGGTCATTGATCCCAATTTTGAACGACTTGTTCTCTTCACCGATAGGATTCACCTGAAAGATGATAAATACATTTAGGAATAATAATTATTGTGCGTTTTATTCAATCGTCACTTTGTAATCTTAAAACGTGTCGCGTACCAAAACGAATTTCGAAGATTCCTGCGTGTTCAGTGTTTCGGCGTTCGCGGGACTGCCGGTATCGTTGTTGATACCGATTCTGCTCCTCCCCTTTTTTTTGTTCGACTGCGGGGTATTCATCTTCGGTCACGATCCCGCCCCTCGCCGTAAACGAACGTGGTTAGATCACCCGCACTTTCATAAACTTTTGTCCCGTTTTTATATGTACTTTTAAAGCATTCTGCTACGAATCTGTTTCGGTTTCGTGCATCGAAACTAACCCATCCCTCATTCTCAGGCGCATACCGCCCGTCGTATGCTATCTACTTGCATTAAATTGCATTCGACGAGGAAAGGAACGCTCACGAATGTTTGAACAGGTAAGTGCAGTGCTAACCAATTCAGGCGGCAAGCTTAATAATAACTGGTATTATTATAACGACGCGTTTGCTCGCCAATGGCACGAGTTCCTCACGGAATGAAACGCCTTTCAATTGGTGAATCATCAGAAAAATTTATCTCCATTATCCCCTGTTCAAACGTGCTCAGATTTCTCCTATATAATAACAAGACTCGTTCGGCGAAGTACGCAGTTTATTTTAAAATACACGTTTTATTTACAATCTTTTTTTTCTAGAACAATTATGATAGAAAGCCGCCATTACGTGTCGAAGAGCCGAGAGAGACGTGCAGTTTCTATGATAGACGGTGAGAAGTGACTCTTCGTAAGATCTGCGTATTAGAAAACATACAACGTTATCATTAATCTTAGGAGGAGGTATTACAAATATTTAAATATTTTCGAAAGTTGTTATTCCATTTCGAAAGCGCGATAATCTCGATCGATGCTGGCGCTGCCTGTCGAGAGCTGATCGTATTCGAAGAGCAGCGCCGTTTGAGCCTGTCGACCCTGGTTCTGAGTACTCAGTGCGCGGTAGTGGGGGAGGGTAAGAGATCTAACTTTACACCAGTCATCAGCAGTATTTGCTCCCGTGTCCGCAGCTTTGGTTCGCATTGTCGTAATCGAAAGTTTTCGTTTGCATCGGGCCAGAGAGTTTGAGCTAGATAAACCTTAGCCTGTGTTCAGTGAGAGTGCGGGTCGCGCGGGGGCAACCGGAATTAACTGGATTCGTGCGTCGAGGGACTTTGATGTTCCGCTGAGAATTATGTCGGATACTGGCGCAGGATTACGATCGGTCACACGTCAAGTCAGCTGACATATTGCGCCCTGCTACACCGCAACAGCTCTTGGTAAGTGTTGCAATCCCGCGATCCGCTCGTCAACGGCGACTATTTTTACCGAATAACCGTGAATTACGGGGTCCGGGGTGACCCGCGGCACCGTTCGATTTAACGCGTACACACACGCTGCCGAGTTTTTTCCTTTTTCTTCTCTCTCCACGGCGAGGTCTAGCCTCGGGTGTATACGTACGTCCCGTTCCCTCTCGCTTCCGTGCCCTTCTCTTTGATCCCCCGACTCTCCGGCCCGTTTCTCCCGATAAAAAGATGTCCGGCCGCGACGTGGAATACGCGTTACGCGCGCGGGACAAAGGAAACGACGCAATTCCCAAGCGAGGTGTGCGTACGTTTCTCAAGGATATTATAGAAGCCATGTCTCTCCGTGTTCCGTTCCTTCGTGCTCTTTAACTGCCTACCTGCCAGCCTGCGTACCTGCGTGCTTGCTTGAGTGGATGCGTGCATGTGTGCCGATGACGGCAGCAGCGCCGATCGCGATTCAAGCGCAAATGCACACTTATGCATTTATCCTCCCTGCGGACCTCCCCCCGCGGTTTTCGTACCCCCTTCCGTGCACCCACATCCGCACTGGTCTTAAATCCCCACCTCTCACGGCTCCCCGTGCGCTCCCTGGACTCGACGATGCCCGTTTCTATTCTTTCGTCTATTCCCGACTAATTTAGTTACACAATACCCGAGGAATCGTCGTGGACGCTGCCTCGAATCGAACCTCTAATAACGTCCAATCAGAGGCCCGCCGCCGTTCCACGCTAGTTAAGCAATTTCCTAATGAGTCGCAGGTTTCGCTTTGAGGTTATAATACCTCCACCCTTGCCCCGAGAACGCGCTCGTTTTCCCCAGGAATCTTATCTCTTCGTGGCAGTCGAAATGATAGAGATGACTTTCATCATCGTGGCACGCATCGCGAACATGCGAGCCACGGCTCGTTTTAAATACCGTCCCTCTCGCTGTTATCTCTCCTCCCCGTGTCGCAGCCTCCTATCGGAGTGGCGGAGGAGGAAGAGGCGGCGGCGGCGATCGTAACTCTCTCGCGTGTGCGGGAATCCATAGGTGGCATTCACCAGGTTGGAAAATCGAACCACCCACGGGTAGAGCGGCGGTTTATCGTTGCGTCGATGGCCACGGCGACCGCGTTCCCCGCTGACCACGCGAACTTAACGCGGTTCATCCGCGAAATAAAATCAACCGTGTTCACTTTATGTGTACTTGTACACGGCGTTCGATTCATCATCCAGCCGAGCAAGCCACACCTCGCTTTCTTCGCGAGTGTTAAAATGGCTGCACGCGAAATTACCACTAATAATGAGAAGATGCTTAATCGTAGATCCGACGTTGCCACGCGTAGATCCAGCGCGAAGTTCAAATCCAGTCCGGCAAGTCACTGCGTGCGAAACGTTGCGATATCGCTTTTCGACGTGAGTCAGTCGCTTATCGGTTTGAATGAACCGATAATAAAAATCCGTGACCATGTACGTGCGACGTGCCCGAAGGTATTCCCTGCACGTGTCATTGGACTGTACAGATGGATTTCGTAAGAACAATGAGAGGCCGCAGTTGACTGACAGCCAAAATACAATCGCGACTATTTTAGACCGCCTTTATCCATCCCTCCTCTTTGTTTTGCCACCGCCGGGTTTTTATGCACTTCCGTTTAACTCACCTCGAGCCTAATTCCCAATTACGTTCTCATTACTTTTTTTCTTTTACACAAAAGCCGATTATTCCTAATATAATTGTTTGCCACATACTAGACCGCGTTCGTTACGCAACTTGAAAAGAAATCTTATGTATCTGTCATGCAAATACGTGCGGGATTGGAATTCATCGGAGATTGTATTAGCGTAAACAAGCGGGAACCAAATCGGCGTGATTTATACGTCGTTGCACGTACGGTGACTAGTTGTTTTCGAGCAGTTGGCTGCGATTAGTAATTTCTATTGTCGCGGCCTTTGACACCGTTGAAAGAAGTTCGAAGACCGAGCGTTTTTCCCAATCGGGAACAAAAGCGAACCCAGATAAGTTAAAGCGGAAAACAGGAACGCGTCATTGTCGAGAAAATGAGTCAAACGCTACACGATACGATGACGAGTAATCGCGACTAACTGAGCCAGTCGAGCATCGGTTTCGGTCGTGGCCGGTGCGATCGTTTCGCACGCGAGAAAACTGTACTTAAAAATCGGCTAGTTACTTTCCGTTAGAAAGTGTTCTTCAATCCTATTTGCTCCGGTAACTTTCATTGAACACCATCGTTTTTAATTGGTCGCCGCGGGACGAGTGTTATTGTCATTGTCAGACCGCTATAAGTGCGTCACGTCGAACCGTTCGACCGAGGATTGTGTTTTATGTCGGCGACGTTAAAAATAGTGGACCGCGTAATTTCGTAATTCGATTTTACGCGTTAGAGAATTGTTTACCGAGACAATTTGACACCAGCGACGTCACGCTTCTCGAAAGGTAGATAATTTTGATAAATCTCAACGCTTTCCAAAAAAACAAAATAAAAATGAATCTCCCTGAAAACTGCTACGATTCATTCGTTCGATGAATGATTTTCGAATTGGCAGAACGTCCCGTTGGATAATTTTTTTTATCGCGATACACGGAAGTGAAATTTTTCGGGTCACGCGTATAATTAAATCGCTTAGCTGTCCGATAACCTTCCGCGTTTAATGCGACGCTGCTGCATCCCGAGTGGATCCAGCGATCCACTCAGGGTTAGGCGAAAAAACGAGTCATTGCACGCGCGGTTTATTTGCGCTAACAACGAACTGTTCTTGCGTCACGTGGATTCATTGTTAATTTTGATACACGGCCGACTCGTCAGTCAGTTAGGCGTTTATCGCACGAATGCAATTCGACGGGTAACTAATATTAGAGCTCAAGGAGGAGCACCTCTATACACGGGCCTCTCTCAATAACGCTGGCAACTTTTCGAGATCGAAAGAAAGGAATCTCGCATGCAGATTCATCCACGTTTGTTTCCACCCCTCCTGGAACTTCCTACCACGTGATCGCCATTTGATTCTTCTTTCAATTACCTACAGTGACGTCACTGGTTCCGAGGAACTAACGGATTTAAATCCCGTTCCTTTAAAACCCGTCCTAAATTTTAACGGCCTTTATTGTTCGTCCTCCAAACGCATTTTTCTTATCCGTCAAAGCAACAGGTCCTATCTAGGATCCGTCAAATGCTTCCCATCAATTGTTTCCTTGTTTAAGTGAAAAAGGATGCTGCGACGTGATCATATGCACGTTCTCTCTGTTATTAATTTATTCGACTGTATCACTGCTGTTTAACGGCATGCGAGAGGTTTTTGTACAGTGAAAGTGAAAACAAGCGGCTGATACGGTCGCCTGTTAAGGAGTTCGTTAGCTGATAGCTTACCGTGATTATCTATCTTTGTTCGAGGTATCGGGAATACAGAAGTCTTATCATTCATCGAAATTCTATTATCTTCGACTGAAGAAAGCGTGGCCTTCCCTCGTTTTTCGTTTCGCATCTGTCGGCATTAATCGAACGACACGTAGATAGGGACGGCGGCACGACATCTACCGATCAGCTCTGGAAATGTATAAATAAAACACACCGTCACGTCGTGCACTCGTCGTCGGAAACGCGTACGTACGTACAGACGAGTATTAATTTTCTGTCCGCGAGGAGGAGAATCGCGTTCGTTATCAAGCAATTATCGAGGAGGGAAAGAGGCGGCCGAGGAGTCGGGAAAATCATGGTGTAAGGAAGGTACCGTGCGCGCAGACGTGGAACCAGACCGAGGAGTGAGTCGTGTTAATACGTGCGAATCTGAGAAGGAAAGAGAAAAAGAGCGACGAAAATAAGCGGCGGAAATTCAAGTATTCTCTGGGGAGAGAGAGAGTGTGTGTCCGTTGGATCCGTGAACCGGCCGTGTTCGTTACTCTCGCCCGTCCGTCGTACCTCGGACAAGGATATCGTCGTTGTTCGCGTTTCGCGTTCGCGCTAAACAAGAGGCGAGGCCTCGGTAAATTACGCGAGATACCATAACCTTATCGTTCGACGGGCAAGTGTGCGCGCGTGTGTGTCGTCGGTTGTACGTCCGCCCAGAGAGCCGAGCGATCGCCATCATGAAAACATTTGGCCCGTCGTCGTCGTCGTCGTCGTCGCCGTCTTGGTCGCCGCCGCCGTCGTCGTCGTCGTCGTCGTCGCTATCGTTTCTCCTTCGACCTTGCAGGTTCCTCGGGTTTAAGTAATATCGAGCGCTCGAGCGCGAAGTTGCACGCACAAAGCGAGAAACGAGGAGAGCGCAACGAGACCGAGAGAGACAGACAGAGAGACGAGGCGATTTGGTAACGTTTCGTTTTAGCTCGCCCGAGGGAGGGAGAGAGAAGGAACGAGAGAAGGCTCCGAAGAGACAAAGCGAACGCGCGCATCGAGAGTGTGGCCAGAGGCGAGAATTGCGCCGCCAGGATTTTTACCCGAGAGGCACGACGTTCAGGAGGGAACACCTCCCGGCCGACGGAACCGTCGGAGTATCGGTCGTCGCGGCCGCATCGGATCCCTAAACGTGTCCCGAACACGCGACGAGGACAGGACGGCGGTGCGCCCACTTAAATGCCTCGAACGAATTCTTACTCCATGTTGTGCGTTGGTTGCGACACGACTGCGTGTTGGAAAGTGAGTAATATCACGTTTCCTTCGATCACGCCTCATCATCCGCGGACGTTTTAATTGCGACGAGAACGCGAGGTTCGCACCGCGGAGCATTTGACAAACGCGTCGAACCCACCCGACCCCCTATACCCCCCTCCCCTCCGGCCGACGGGCGATATCAAAAACGTTAGGTCCCTCTTCCTACTGCTGCCTCTCTTTCTTTTCTTTTCTTTTTTTATCTTCCGTCACCGTCGATTGTTTCCTTCTGTACGACCGATTTCTCGGTTTTATTTTGCCCTCGCAGGAATCGCGCTGTATCTCTCTCTCTCGCTCTCGCTTTCGCTCTTTTCCTCTTTCACCTTCTGTCCTTCTCCCTCTCTCTCTCTCCCTCTCTCTCTCTCTCCTTCCCGGGCACGGAATTTGTGTGTTTTTGTACTATAGGGAACGGCCCTTGATCTCGAGATATCGCCGACGATTTCTCCCGGTTCTATGCGTAAACTTCTCGGTGTGCGTGTGTGCAAGTGAAAATTTCGACATGAAAGCAGCCCGTGCATCTGGCGAGCTCTGAGACGTCGACGCTGTGTTTGTCCGCTAATCCCGTCGATATCGATATAATGTGTCTGCTATGGTGCAATGATCGCTGCGTTTCCATCGTCGTTTTAAACCGGCACCGGGACCCGATCACGGGTTTTCGTTAATCGGATCTAACGCGCCACGAATCGCCAACCCGTGGCGGATATACGTTTAATCGGGGCAACAGTTTCGCGAAAATTATACGTTCGTGCCTCGTCATCCGTCGGATGAGTCCGCGGCGAAAGTTCTGTTCTGTACATCATCGCATTCCTTCGTTCGTCGTAGAGATTCGCGATTTCTCATACACGCTTTTAACGTAACCTCCGCGCGAACCGACCGACCGACCCATACCACCGACCACCGTACCCGGTTTTACACGCGGGTTACGAGACGCTAAACTGTGCTGTATTTTAATAGGTGAATGTATGGTGACACGCGGTCGAGAAGGAGCAACTGGAGAGCGAGCTGTGGCAAGAGACGCTTAATTATCTCCCGTTTAGTTGACTGCAATTTGCTCGGCGCAGCCTCGAGTGATTGCAAGAAAATAGGATATCCGAAGATCTAAGGACTTGTTTAATCATTGCGGTTTCAAACGAGAGGACAGAGAAGATGGAGCGAGAGTCGAATCCTATGCAAGCTCTGTGCCGCAGCGGCTGCGGATTCTATGGCTCGCCAGCCACGGATGGCCTTTGTTCTCTTTGTTACAAAGAAAACCTGAAGAAGAAGCAGCAGCCTCCTGTGTCCGCTGCCACTGTACCAACATCGCAAACCGTCTCTGGTAACGCTGGCACGTTGCAAGGCGGTTTCGGTAGTCCTGCAGCTACAGGCACTACCGCCCAACCTACCATTCCTACCATACCTCAACCAACGACGGATCTACCCAACCCCAAAGAAGTAAGTCCTCATCTCTGGTAGCGAGAAATTCAAACCTGCAGGGTTTAATATCTACACGAGTCAGGTCCCTCTTCCTACTGCTGCCTCTCTTTCTTTTCTTTTCTTTTTTTATCTTCCGTCACCGTCGATTGTTTCCTTCTGTACGACCGATTTCTCGGTTTTATTTTGCCCTCGCAGGAATCGCGCTGTATCTCTCTCTCTCGCTCTCGCTTTCGCTCTTTTCCTCTTTCACCTTCTGTCCTTCTCCCTCTCTCTCTCTCTCTCTCTCTCTCTCTCCTTCCCGGGCACGGAATTTGTGTGTTTTTGTACTATAGGGAACGGCCCTTGATCTCGAGATATCGCCGACGATTTCTCCCGGTTCTATGCGTAAACTTCTCGGTGTGCGTGTGTGCAAGTGAAAATTTCGACATGAAAGCAGCCCGTGCATCTGGCGAGCTCTGAGACGTCGACGCTGTGTTTGTCCGCTAATCCCGTCGATATCGATATAATGTGTCTGCTATGGTGCAATGATCGCTGCGTTTCCATCGTCGTTTTAAACCGGCACCGGGACCCGATCACGGGTTTTCGTTAATCGGATCTAACGCGCCACGAATCGCCAACCCGTGGCGGATATACGTTTAATCGGGGCAACAGTTTCGCGAAAATTATACGTTCGTGCCTCGTCATCCGTCGGATGAGTCCGCGGCGAAAGTTCTGTTCTGTACATCATCGCATTCCTTCGTTCGTCGTAGAGATTCGCGATTTCTCATACACGCTTTTAACGTAACCTCCGCGCGAACCGACCGACCGACCCATACCACCGACCACCGTACCCGGTTTTACACGCGGGTTACGAGACGCTAAACTGTGCTGTATTTTAATAGGTGAATGTATGGTGACACGCGGTCGAGAAGGAGCAACTGGAGAGCGAGCTGTGGCAAGAGACGCTTAATTATCTCCCGTTTAGTTGACTGCAATTTGCTCGGCGCAGCCTCGAGTGATTGCAAGAAAATAGGATATCCGAAGATCTAAGGACTTGTTTAATCATTGCGGTTTCAAACGAGAGGACAGAGAAGATGGAGCGAGAGTCGAATCCTATGCAAGCTCTGTGCCGCAGCGGCTGCGGATTCTATGGCTCGCCAGCCACGGATGGCCTTTGTTCTCTTTGTTACAAAGAAAACCTGAAGAAGAAGCAGCAGCCTCCTGTGTCCGCTGCCACTGTACCAACATCGCAAACCGTCTCTGGTAACGCTGGCACGTTGCAAGGCGGTTTCGGTAGTCCTGCAGCTACAGGCACTACCGCCCAACCTACCATTCCTACCATACCTCAACCAACGACGGATCTACCCAACCCCAAAGAAGTAAGTCCTCATCTCTGGTAGCGAGAAATTCAAACCTGCAGGGTTTAATATCTACACGAGTCCCTCGTTTTTGTTCGACGAAACAGATAAACAGGGAAGATCAAGAAAGTGAAGTAGGTGTAACCAGTGGAGCGATAGCAGAGGGGTCTGTGAGCAGCGGGGACGCAGATGACTGCTTCGATGGCAAAGAGACTGACAAAGAATCTAAGAAGAAGAAAAATCGTTGCGCCGTGTGTCGCAAAAAAGTTGGATTGACGGGTGAGTAAGCCGTGTTTGCATGTGAAAACCACGCAGGCCGTGTCTATTTTTAATTGATTCACGTGTCTCGTTTCGCTGTTCTGTTCGTCGACAGGATTCGAGTGCCGTTGTGGGGGACTATTCTGCTCTGTGCATCGATACAGTGACAAGCACGACTGCAAGTTCGATTACAGAGAAATGGGCGCTCAAGAGATTCGGCGCAACAATCCAGTTGTTGTTGGTGAAAAAGTGCAAAAAATTTGAACTATTTAGTGCGTAGATCGTTGGGAAAATGGTTATATAACTATATAAACAAAACACAGAATATAAAACAAAAAAACGGAGAAAAATCGAGATAAATTATCTGGCAGCTGATTGCGCGTCGAGGGGCGGGGGACCGGGGTTGGATGCGAATGAGAGGAACGTCGTGTACGAAAGGGGGAGAGTGTAGCAGGGCAATTAGCGTGAAAGGGTGTGTGAGCGCGAGAGCAACGAAGCGGCGGGTGTCGTGTTAAGAACGTGCGTAGGGCGAAAGTGCGAGCTTCGTTTTCTGACGACCGAGGGAAAGAATGATAAATTCAACAAGAAACTATTGGTTTGTACCACGATAATACGCAAATTATAATATATTATACAAATATATATATAGAGGAACGCCCGAGACACAGACGAAATTTCCCGTGGGACAGGAAAAGGAAAGGAACATTGGGGAGGACTAAGGGACGGAAATTAGAGTGCGTGCCGCGCGTGTACGAATGATTCGAGTAAAAATTTTTGGATGCCAGTGCCATGTCAGATTGTCGTCTTTGGCGAGAGTTTAGAGAAGAAAAAAAAGGAAATGGAAAAATATCCAGAATATATTTGGTTCTAACCGCTGCCAGCTTACTACTACTATTACCTTTATTATTAACTACGATTATTACGGTTTATTATTATTCTATCTCTTATGTTTATTAATTTACTTAAAAACGAAAATGGATCGAAATGCAAAATTGGCGTACGAAAGTGTTTGTTTGTTTTTATTTTTCTTAAGAGATCGTGGAATTTAGCTATGAAAGGGGAAAGAGAAACACGGATCCTTGGTGTGGCCGGTCTTATGAGACGTCTCATTTGGGACTTACGAGTGTTTTTTTTTCTTTTTGTTTTAACCGAAAGAGAGAGAGAACGAGCGAGTGAGCGAGCGACAGAGAGAAAAAATTTTATATTATACATATAATCTATATTTCTGTTTCCGTTCGTAATATCCAAAAATGATAAAAAAAAAGGGAATGTTGCTTAGGTAGTGGCTGACGTTGATGGGTGATCACAATCCTAGGTTTAACGATTAGTCTAATAATTATTAAGTATATTAGTCTATTGATTCATAAAAATAATGCAATGAAGTATAAGTAGTACTGTGTGTTTATGTCCAATTTCACGTGAATATAACCAAGCATTATTCCTCATTAAATATGTTTCAAACTATATTTGCAAATCAATTATTTACGCCACGCGTTTTGCGGATCTCCGCGAGGAGGACAGAGACCGAGGAGGGGTTAACGAATTCTTCGTGCGGTTCCCCGAGAAAAAAAAGCGAATCGAACGTCGTTAGACGATAAAAATTAGGTTGTGTCCACGTGAGTCGTCCAGTCCGGCTTTCTCGAGGTTCATTTTTCCCGTTCCGAATTTAATAAGAATTTGTTGAGCGTATAATTGGTGCTAAAATACACATTGTACGACGAAAGGCCAGCCAGATGTGAGAGAACAATGAGAGGCCCCTCGACCATCGGCCCTGTTAATCGACGAGCGATAAAACAAAGCGACAGCGACAACAGTTTCTCCGTCTGTCTTAACCATTTTCTTCCGTGTTGCAATACTTTTTAACGAAACGAAACAAATCCAGGAAAAAAGAAAAACGAGTAAGAAAAAAAAGAACAGATGCGTATGTTTCAGTTTTTTGTTCAGCGTGTCTCTGACTCTTCTTAGGCTAGGCTCGTAGTTGAGAGAGAGAGAGAGCGAGAGAGAGAGAGAGTAATGAAGGAGCTGCTGTAGATGTTGAGTTTTATGTCGCTTCTACTAAAACGATTGGGCGAGAAACGAACCGTTGCACGAGGCAACTTATTGTAAAGAAAGAAAGCATATGAAGGAACAGAATAATTTCTTCGTTGCTTCGTGAAGTTTTTCGTGCCGAGTGTTTCTTTCTCCGCGTATCGTCGTCTTCTTTCGAACGTGCGTGAAAACCACGATAGCCGTCACGCTGAGAGTTTCGCGATTTTACGGACGGAGTCCTGTGGGCAGTACGTGGCGAATTGTGAGCGTTGAATGTAGGGGTGAGAGGCGAGATCACCGCCGCCATACCGTTTTTCATTTTTTACGTGCATATTATCGATGCTTTGTTCTTTTTCCGAGATCTTGCGACGTCGTCGAAACGAGAACGGCATAAACCCGATGCACAGAGAAAGAAGAAGTCGTTGTATTAATTACGTTGATTAGAATAAAGTGAATCGTTTTTCATTTCAGTGCCACGTTATCGATGGTCATTTATTTTATGACGTAGCGAAATAATTGTATTTTGCAGAAGAGAGAGAGAGAGAGAGTGAGCGAAAGAGAGAAAGAGTGTGTGTGAATGAACGAGAGCGATTTTATTCGTGACAGAACTTTCGCATATACACACTCTATATTTGCCGTGATCACAGACACACAGATAAAAATACATATACATAACAGTACACTAGAACACAGCCACAAACACATAACACACACACACACGATGAACGTAATGTCTAATGGACAATATATTATTAATGTGTACAGAGTGAGACTCTATTGGTCGTCACGGTTTTTCAATTTTTGTAATCGTCGTATGGAAAAAGAAATGTTATAAATAAAAATCGTATTGTTTCAATAGAACTCATCATCAGGGGAAGTTACATCGCCGAACACTCCGAATACATGCACACGACACGCGTCCATTTTCGTTTGTATTATTATTAATCCGCGGTAATTAATGCAGATCAGTTTTTCCGTTTTCGTCTGGTTGGCCTCGAGAGAGACAGACTCTCAGATTGAAATTATACGATTATTATTTAACATTTTCCGATCAGAAAAGTCCTCTAATTGTTAAAAAAAGAAGAAGAAGAATAAGAAGAAAAATGGAAGATATATCGTTCGCAATTTGCTTTCTCGAGATTCGTTGCGCAGTGATTTTCGTTGTGGCGCGCACCTTAGAGGCAAAAAGAAAGAGAGAGCGAGCGCGAGAGAGAGAGAGAGAGAGAGAGAGAGAAAGAAATCGAGAGAGCGAGAGGAATAGAGCGACGGCTGGGAACCGAAGAGAAGAAGTGACGTTAGAAGAAGAGGAGGTACGCACACCGATTATCAATAATATCGACGGAACGGTTGCCTTCAGGCCTTCATCCTATTTTAGGCATAGCATATTTTTCTAAGATTGTAACGCGAATTAACCGGGGAGAGTTCGAGTCTTGCCTATAGCGAATGACATGAGGAGACACGACGGTTTGTGCGAGAGTGTGAAAGCTTTTTGAATGAATGAAACGGTGAGGAGGGGGGGGGGTGCGGGGAGGAACCAACGGAGGACGGTTGATTTTTCGCGATCAGTTGAACTAAATAAATAAATCAATCCGAACCGGGGGAACGACGGATGGCAACACAGCACCGCGTTAGTGCTCGGCTGACTATATTAAGGACGTAACGATGCTTGTAATTATTACATGATTGATATTAGTATGTTTAAGCGATTAAACAAAAAGGAACGAAGTAACGTCGACTTTGAATATCTCATGCGCAGGACGAGTCGGACTTAAACGTTTTAAAAACGATTCGTGTTTAGGCGATCTTTTGTATCTTCCCGGTAATGTGAAATGAAAAGTTATTGGAAATTATTATACGCGGCTCGTCCTGCGTATTATTATAAATTTACCATTCTTTCGACAATGACACACACGCTTTAGATATATATTATATCTTATTTAGGTTCGTTCGTAGGTAGAAAAAAAAAATGGATATCGATGTTATTAATTCGTTTCTACTCTTACGATTTTCCTCTAACTTTCGTTTTCACGACGTACCTCCTTGCAAAGAAAAAACAAATAACCGCAAAGCTGCTATTATCAAAATCTCTCTTCGATCGTGTATGTCGATCTCTCTCCCGATGGTTCTTGCGACCGTTTATAATAATTATAGTGGATTATATTTATGTATATTTAACAGACAAAATATATATAAATTTACCGCCCTGTAAGAGACGCGACAGATTCAAAGTTATTTCGCGTTTCGCGGCTCTCCCGAGGCGAAACGAATTTTAGTAAACAGGAGGAGGGGTCTCCTTTTTCTATTCAGTCGAGGGAAGATGCTGACCAGTTTCCTTTAGGGGCGAATTCGTAGCAATTAATAACGAAAGTGATGCAATCTTAGGACAATAAGGCATATAGGAGGCACGAACACGAAAACACGAGTTTTCCTTTAGTCGAATTATCATTATCATTATTATTATTATTATCATTATTATTATTATTAATTATTATTATTATTATTAATTATTATAATATGTAAACGTTGTCTGGGGTGAAAATCTTGCGAGAACCTAGTTTGACGATTACTCCAACGTGTGTTATCATGAAAAGAAACCGATAGCACTCTCTGAAATTAATGACCAATAAATATATGGATTATTTGAAAATAGAAAGCTAGAGATGTTGAAACAAGTCCCTTTTTCGTTAATCGTTAACGAACTTTGTCACTGACCAAAGTAGCAACCACGATCTTATATTTATAAGATCGTGGTAGCAACGATGAACGCTAATTTTTATTTTTTACGAGCAATACTTGTTTCGTAATTAACAGTGCGCATGCGCGTACCGGAAGCTCGCTCGCAGTTGCCGCATCCGCGCCGCTCCAGTTGTAAACGACACGCTCGTTCAGCGATTGCGAAGCGGCGTTACAAAGGATTTTTTAACCGAAAGACCATCCGGTCTTCGATTAACTTAAAGTAGCCGCAGGAGGGACTTGCATCGTCGTGGTCGTTGAAAAAGTGACTAAAAATGTCGATAGGAGTACCGATCAAAGTGCTCCACGAAGCGGAGGGCCATACCATAACCTGCGAGACAAACACGGGCGAGTTGTATCGCGGGAAATTAGTGGAGGCCGAGGACAACATGAACTGTCAAATGGAGAAGATCACGGTGACCTACAGGGACGGTAGGGAGGCTCAGTTAGAGAACGTTTATATCAGGGGCTCGAAAATCAGGTTTCTCATTTTACCGGACATGTTGAAGAACGCGCCGATGTTTAAGAGACCTGGTGGCAAGGGCTCAGGCACCGCTGGCCGAGGGAAGTCCGCTATCCTCCGCGCCCAAGGTTCATACCCAACTTACATCAAGTTTCTGTTAAAATACACGAAAACTAGAACAGTAATAATAGAGGCCCGTGTCTCGTTGTTTCACAATAGACTTTACTAGCTGGGTTTTGTTTCTTAGCGCGCGGGAGGGGCAGAGGTCAGAACCAGAGAGGTAGAGGTACGGGGTCGGCGCCGTGGCTAAATCAACAGAACCAACCTGGAGGATCTCAAGCAGGAAAAGGACGAGGATAAACAAAATGAAGTTTCTAACAAGGGACACTGATTCTGCCTGTGACCAATCTTCTTATATCGTTTGTACAAGAAGTATGATTAGACGTGGAAGTATTATAATAAAAATATGGAGCGGTTTTCCAGATTTTCCACAACTCTTGTATTATATATTCCAATATTGATAAGGTTTAATAAAAAATATCTATATTTTAAGTATATTCTTTGTGTACGTTTCTTAATACCCCTTACCGTCACCAGGTCGCGCTATAATCCATGCGTTCGGATGCATTGACCAAATGACCGTCGACCTTGCAGCCTGCAGAGCAGTGCCAGGGGTGCCAGGTCAGACACGCTTAGTAATTAACGTTGACATCGAATCAGCGAGGATGCTGGCTGTAGTCGATCATTAACTAGTCGAGAGTTTCTATAATTTTAATTATCGTCCATTATTGATCGGTCCTGAACAAGGGATTCTCGGAGACGAGCGAGACGAGTCGATCGCGATGGACAGGAGTACCGAGCAGAGGTACGACGACGAGACGTCCGAGCAGCCGGTGGACTACAGTAAGAAATACAGCGAGAGGAAAACCGCAGCCGAGAACGCGACCGACCGATCTTGTAAAAAAGAATTCGGTGAACGCGGCTCGAAAGTGGATTTATTCGGCGATTACGCCGAGACCGATCTGGACCAACCGACGGATTACAGTTTACGTTACGCCGAGGACGACACCGACGACGATGAGAAACAAAGCCCGGAATATTTCCCAGGAAGCGTGCAGGAAGACACGGTGAAGACTTACTGCACGGAAGGTACTCCGTATGAAACGCCGTTCAATTTTTCCACTGCGACTTCCATGTCCGATTTGCGTCTGGAAGACACGAAGGAGGACAGATCGGATTCGCAGAAAAAGAACAAAAAGTCAGACCGCAAGGAAGGCATGAATTACGAGCGTTCCCTGTCTCTCAATTGCAACGAAGACGGTCTTGGAAAGAAACTGGAAGCTTCGAAGAATTCTGAGAACTCGGAAAAATTGATTAATTATTATCAACCTGAGACGTCCGGTGGATTCTCCAGGGCTAATTCTCTGAGCTCCCTTGGCAGTGCTACGCAGAGGAATAATACTACTACGATTTCTAAAGCACCCTCGACAGATTCCTCTGATAAGGACAACGTGTCGGAAAGGGTCGATGCTGCAAGTAGCAGCAATAATGCAAACGGTTTACGTATATCAGATGAGACTGATAGCCCCACGGAGGGGAAGAATAATTCTAGGATTATGGATAAAGAAGGTTTGCAATTTCTACTTTGATGTTTCTGAGTACAGTCTTATTTATCTATTGGATTATTATTTCAGGCAAGATGGTCACCTTCAGCAGGCAAGACTATTACGCTGAACAAACACCTTTAATGTTCTCACGTTGTAGTTCCCTTGGTTCTCTGAGTGGATTCGAGCAGCATTCCATACACGACGATCGTAGTTCCATCGTCAGCGACTTTAGGTAGTGCCTCGATATTCAAAGTGCCTCGATATTCAATATTTGAATGAAACGAGATTCATTTAAAATCGTGTTGACTCAGCCGTAGGACCAGCGGTGTCGTGTCTCCGAGCGAACTGCCAGATTCGCCGACGCAAACGATCCCTCCGAGTCCTCGGAATCATAAAAACCAGTGCGCGGATTTCATAAGCAAAATACCTGAAGAAGCAGTAAGACCGCCGGTTCGACATTTATGTATGCAATGTTGTTGATCGCCGGTGAACGAAAATTCCAAGCAAACTTTCATTCACAGCGTGTGCCCGAGTCTCACCGCTGATACATCTTTCTTAGGACCGATTATTTTTAGCTTATCCGAAATGTCGTCCGACGACGACCAGCGTTTTCGAGGACGATATTGCTACGTTCAAAGAGGAATCGACGCCGATTGAATTCTCCACGGCTACCAGTCTCAGTTCTCTGACGATCGACGATGAGGTGAAAATCCCGAACACTTCCGAGCCTCCGTTGAAAGAAACAAAAGAAACTGAGACCAAAGTGGAGAAAGACGATAAAGTAAATTTGCCGGAGGAGAAAGTTAGTAACGTTGAGACTGAGAAGGAGCAGGAGCAAGTGAGCGACGGTGACGAGGATGACGAGGACATTCTAGCAGCTTGTATCAGTAGAGGAATACAGAACAATAGGTACTCGATTAGTACCTCACATCAATTACTATCATATTTCATTATTCGTATTTTAAAGGTACAGGCAATCGTTCAAAACTGTGCAAAAACCACACCAGCCAGAACCATCGAATATATTGAGTCGCTGTCAAAGGACGCCAGTTTTGAACAGGCTGGAGCCTCCGGTTCTCGTGACTCCCGACGCTCCGGCGACTGCCTCGAAGGCGAAGCCTGCGATCGAAGTCGTGGCTGCTCCGGACTCGGTGCACGTTTACTGCACGGAAGACACGCCGGCAGATATTTCTCCCATGGGCTCCCAGTCCAATCTCTCGGCTCTATCCATGCCTAGCGTCCAGGAAGACGTGGAGAGGCCTGAAGAGGTGAAATCATCGAACGAAGTCGAATGCCACAGGAACGATCTCTCCGACGAGAGCTCCAATTTATCTGGCGAGGATGAGAAGATTCTTGACGAGTGCATTCAATCGGGAATACCAAAAGTAACCCGTGAAACGTTTATGCTATGTATTTATTTTCTCATTAATTAAAAGAAGATCAGAAGACTTGACGATCTTTCGTTGTTTCAGGTTCGACAGATAACCCCCCCTCCGACGAATTGCATTCCATTTGCACAGAAAACTGAGGTGCCAACGCAGAGATTTAACATCTGCGGCACTCCCTCGTCATCGCCAGTGGAGAGCGCGAATAAAAATCCTATTCTCCGAAAACCGATGTCCCGTGCAACGTTAGATAACGAGAACGATCCATTCGACAGTCCGAATAATTCAGACGACGAGGCTATCCTCAGCGAATGCATAAGATCCGCTATGCCGAAGGTTCGTATCATAATTTCAAGTATTATGAATTTTAATATTAAAGACGTTAACTTTAGGTTAGGTTGAACATGTCCACGCTTATGGGTCAGTTATCGCAGACCTCCACGAAGTCTAAAATGGTTTCTCGAAAACCGTCGTCCATTCCATACCGACAGCCAGAGTACAATGAACGGAGCAAGCCGCAGCCGAAGAAACCAGTGCCCTACGAGGACAATTTAAGCCTGTCAGAAGAGGAGGAAGACATCATGTTGGCTCAGTGCATAAAATCTGGAATGCCAAAGGTCGCTCTCTTGATTCACATCATGAAATAATAAATCAATCCCACGTTGTTAATTTAATTTATGCTCGCAGGCCTTGAACGTCTCTTCCAATTCGTTTACCTCCGCGAAGAAGCAACAAGATTACTCGAAGACTAGAAACACTGCCGGTTGTTACGCGAACAAATCTTACACAACGAGAAACGCCACGGTGCAGACTCAGCCGCCGCACAAGCCTATAGAAACCGACCATCACGGAGGTTCATCTTGCACTTTCCATTCTGCCAAGTCGCAAGAGGCCAGGAATCGGCAGATTCTCAAAAACGGTGTTAATCCGTACGAGAAGTTGAACGCTTTATCGTGTGTTAGGAAGTATTCTCATTCGGAGCGGCAACGTAACGTAAACGAGAATATTCTGAGGTCCGAGGTGCCTAATTGCAGGTCGCCCGTTTTACACGGGGCCGACAACGACGACGACGAGCCTTATAGAAACGTCGTGAAATCGAACGTCGCTCCTTCCAGGCATAGTTCCGTCAGCTCCCTCAGCGAAGAGGGTTCCCTCGGGTCCATAGAAGAATGGGCGCTCTTAGAACTGTGTATCAGTTCCGGGATGCCCAGGAACAAGTACCGTTTGAAGGGAATCAAAAACGAGGGGAACGTGAACGAGGACCGTGAAACGATAGCCGAGGACAATTACTCGATCTGCAGTTACAATTCTTACGTTTGTAAAACGTAAACTCGTACAAGACTGAATAAGAATTTTTGTATTGAGAGGGCCTAATCGTATTTCGCGTATAATTGAGAAATGTTTCAATCGATTCGTCCCCCTCGGGTTTTATATATTTTAATTAATCAAATGGTGCAAAGGGAATATTTTCCGTTAAATAAAAATATATCATGATCTCCTTCTATCTTTCAGTAACTCTACGCTTCGGTTTCCACCGCCTAAACTGTTGTACATTGTAAGAATAAGCGTATTTGATAAAAGTTACGATTGTTACGTTACATGGCGTCGATGAATAAAATTTCGATCTCCATTGTAACCAGATTTTTCAATAAAACGTCCAATCGAACTTTTAACCCCACTTCTTCGAGATAATAAATATTTATCTAAAACGCGAGCTTGGAAACGTGTAATGAAGAACGCCGAACGCTGTTATTTATTACAGTTACCAGTTTTTGCATCCGCCTATCGATTTCCGGGCTGCCAATAAGTATTCATCGTTTAAAACCAAGCGACGAACGGTTTCGTGTCCACAAGATTTTTAAAAGAATTTATTTAAAGGTCAACAGGATTAAAGGGTTGAAGTACTAACTTACTAAACTTACTAAATAGTTGAAAGGATCCGCGGGCTGGGCACGAGTATCAGTCGTTCAGCCCTGGATAATTTCGTTGATGATTAACAGAGCGGGGCTCGCTGGAGCATGAAAAGATACCGCCTTTCGACCGCTATCCTGTTGCCCTTCGATGAATCCTAATGACCACCTGGCCGGCATCCAAACCTATTTCCTGCACGTATAAATCTTCATATACCCCTGATTCACGTTTACAGTAAACCGCGACTGACTCAGTGAACGAACGTACCTCCGTTTGAAGAAAAATCCAAATAATTTCCCAATACAATAATAATGATGGTGCAAGTGATCAGTTAAGAATTCTGTAACATTTTTAATATAAAACTAAAATCAGTCGAATATTAAATTTAATATTAAGAATTTCTTATCGCGTTTAAATTAACGTAGCGATGCCATTGGAGCATTGAAGGCCCGAGGCGAGTTTTCAGTCCCTTTTGTCGCTGTTTTACGAGTCAAGGGCATGCAGCTGCACCCGAGTGCATTCTACGTGTCAGCATTGGTCCTCTTGGCAGCTCTTCTGGGCGATGCCTGTTGCGATGATAGAGCGACGTGGTACAACGGGTTACGAACCCTCCTTAAGAATTGTCCTTTGGATCCTTGGAACAACTCCGAGCAGGACTTTCTGGAGAAGTTCCGGGCATGCGTGCAGGAACACGCGCTCGCCACGCTGGACTCGCTCCTGGCCAATGACGTCATACCGGTGTTCGACGGGCTGAATTTGATCAGATTGAACGAAGACAGGGTGAATTCTACGGATAATTACACGGAGAGGTATTTTAATAATTCTCGTAGGAATTCATAATTTGAAGAAAATCTCTTATGACATTCCTCGTTCTTAAATTAATATTATTAGTTGTTCTGTTCGTTTATAATTAAATTGACCTATTACATAAATGAAATTCACAGTTAAATTCGTTACACGGTTTAGTCGTCCAATGGAATTTATTACTGTTATAGTTCTTGTCTCTGCACTCGTAACGAGACGACATAAAGCACTTGCGATTTCTCTCCGCTCTATTTCTCTATCATACAAAGAGCAGCTTCAATGAAGCGAGCGAGCGTTTATCACGGATGAAGTTCAGGTCACGCAACCTGTCGTGACTGGCTCTTTTAAAGGATCCCTCGAGATTAACTTAAAGTTCAATTAGCTACAAGTCTCCAAAAATTGAGACCTTCTTCGAAGTCTATCAAAGGGAAGTTATATTTCTTCTTTGGTTCCAGCGATGTGGATGACGATACCAATTGGGCTAGCGTTGTTGTAAGGCGAATATTGCGGGTGCTACGCACTCATGTATTTAAGGTCGACGTGAATCACTTGGCCAACAGTCTTGCCTCTGTCAATAGCACGGATGTGGACAGTCACAGAATTCAAGGTTTGTTAAAAATTAAAAATAATAATAAAATTTTCACGTCGAATCAATCAGTTTAACTGTAATAAAGATTTGTTGAATATGCTTTATAAAATATTCTAGTATTTAAACAATAAAAAGAATGCATCCCTTAATTTCATTATAATTAAATCAATATAATATATCTATTTCATATCTTTTCAAATCGTAATAAACA